CGTCATTCCCCTTCCCTTCCTAGTTCACTNCCCTTTCTGCATCCAGTAATCAATTCACTGCTCTAGCTGCTTCCCCTCCGCACGACTTGGTGTCACGCAGGCACGTGGCCCTGGACAAGGGAGGGGGGGGGGTACGGCAGTTGGGGCACTTTTAGGCTGCGAAGCACGGTGGCCTGCGGGAACCGTGGAAAGATAGAGACAAACCAAATATATGAAGAAGGTTTTAAAGAAATGGATGACATTTTTTTTTGTTTCGGTTCTCTGTCCCTTTCGGTCTCTTGCTGGACACATCCAGTGTAGCAGTTGAGCATATTCACGGTCCTTCTCTTTACCTGTTGGGATCTTTTTTTCCTGCTTCATTCTGTTTTTATTCTCTACGATCCTCCTCTCTTTTTTTCCGTTTTCATCTTCTTTCAGGCGGATACCCAAATATTTTTTTTCTCTGTGGTTTCTTCCTTTCCATTACCCCCCCCCCCTCCCTCCTTCTCTCTTTTACCCACCCCGCCCTTTATTATCGCGTGTTTCACCCCTGCCGTTGCCTTTCCCTTGCGTACGTAGTGGGAATAATAAGGGGTAGAAAGCGACAGTGACGTTCTCACCTGCAGACACCGTCACCAGCGCCACGCGCGCATGCTCACCACTCCGTGGCGGCGACAGCTTTACTACGCCCATGGGTAGCTCTTGCCCTCCGGGTCGCTCACAAGCCGTTCGCGTGCACTGGTGGTAACCACGGCACCCGTGTCGGCATTGACACCGATGAGCTTGGGGATACTCTCCACGTTGAACGTATTTCGAAGGGCCTCAAGCGCGTCGCGGCTTGTGAAGGGGATCGCAAGCCACGGCATCTTGGCGAAGTACGCGTTGAAGGCCTCCTCCTCCTCGTCCCAACTAACGAGTACAACCTCGAAGTTCTTTGATTCATGGAATTTCTCGTAGAACTCCGCCAGAACCGGGGTGAAGCCGCGGCAGGGCGGGCACCAAGAGGCGGAGAAGTAAAAGAACACCGTCTTCCCGGCGAGGGAGCTGGAGCTCACGCTGCCCGACTTGGAGAGCAGCTTCACGGTGCTGGGAACGTACTTTGCCAAACCGGACATTTCTCTGCTTGCTTACGGATAGTAGCCTCTCGGGGTTGATTTAAGTGTTTGTTCGCTGTTCGTGCTCTAAAAGTCCTTTTCAACAAAAAAAAAAAGTTGAAAAACATGTTTATATATAGAGAGAGAGACAGGAGGGGAGAGATGTGACGGTTAATGAACGAAGCCATCGCCGCTTCGCCCCACCGCCAGCACCGCACGGAGAACGGTCCCCCATCCCCAGTACAGGAGGGCCCACCACACAATTCCAGTTAGCGCTGCGTTCACATCTCGGTGCGCCCACCTTCGCCCTCTGGACTTCCCTTCCTTTATCCATCCTGCTTCCTCTTCCCCCTCTCTGCCCACTGCGTCCTCCCTCACACACGCACACTCACACTGCATGGAAGAAGCGCATTCACAAACACACACGCCACAATGATAGCTGGGCCTCCGCGTCAAACTCAGAAGGTGGAAGCTTTTGAGGCTCCGCACCCGCCATACTCCCTCCGTGAGGATAGCAGCTGCAGTGGGAGGTTAGGGAGTGGGGAGGGGTAGTAAGAAACTGCACACACTGGCTTCCAACGCGGCATCCATTGGGTAAAATATAAAGAAACATACGTTCAAAAGAAAAGACACAAATAAATTTTCAAGAAGCAGATCCACTATTTACATGGCCCCACTGAATTGCGCGTTACTTACACAGACCCCCAACTAGTAACTCTAATAACAAAGAGATGTAACCCCGCTGTTCACTCGGAGCAGTGTGTGTGTGTGTTTTTGAGAGCAACAACGGGAGAAAAGCAAAAGAGCACAGCGCGTTCAATAGACACACTGACGAAACGTCATTTATCAATCGCCGCATTCACTCGCAACGTTCATAAATGTGTCTTTTCACCTATTCCTCCCCAGCTGTTCCGCCTGTTTCTGGGCAAATGGGAGCGGGGGGCCTCGTGTGCTGCAATCCGCCCCCTGCAACCCCGCTGAAATGAGGAACCGCCCCTGTGTGATTTTGTTTACTCCTATTCAACAAGCATACACATACACATTTTTGTTAGTTGTAGTTTGAGTTCTTTTTCCAACATCCTTCGCCAAGCTGACCTCGCCCCCTCTCACAGGCACCGCGTTTACCACCCGCGGGGTGAAGATGCGTCAGCCGCCCGCGGCACCCAGCACGTACACACTCGCAGCAGAAATGGGGCAACAGCTAGAGATACGCACAAATGGAAAAAAAAAACAAAAACAACGACAATACAACGAAACACAACATCAAGTAAACAAGAAGAAGAAATCACAAAAGAAGAGGAGGAAAAAAAAAACACAACACTACACGAGCAAGCCAAACACGGCAGATGCATGGAGTTGTGTCTTGGGGTTCATTATTGCCACAAGTAATACAGCACCGCAACCGTGATAAGCAGTAGCAGCAACTCACACCAGGGAGGTCCCTTCATGAGTTCCCCGCCTGTATCACCAGCCCATGGGAATCCCTCCGCTGTATCCAAGTTCCGCGCCACTAAGTTCCGTGCGTTCCGTGTCAAGAGCTCCCCGGTTTCCAGGTCAAACAGGAGCAACGTCGGAATACCATGGACCGCGTACCTCTGCATCAGTGTCAATCCCAGCGTCTTCGCCTGTGCATACGGCACCGCAAGCCAATCACCGTGTGAACCCTCCCCGCCACGAAGAGCCAGGCGACTGTATTTTTGGTTGTAGAAGTATGCCCGCATGGGGCTCTCACCACGGTCTCGTGAAAAGAAGATAACTTCAAAGCAGTGACTCGTATGAAATGACTCGTAAAAATTCGCTAGCTGTCGGGTGAACAGTCGACACGGAGGACACCAACTGGCGGAAAAGTACAACAGCAGATACTTCTTCCCTTGGAGAGCGGTGGTGATGTCCACCGTGCCGCCATCCTGGCGCAGGAGGTCGAGGGTGTCTACTCCTACTATACGCGAGAGCATTATAGATGCGCCGTAGCAGCGGTGTGTCCTCTTTGCCTATATGTATGGATACACCGTTCTTGTAGTTGTCTCCGTTTTCCCCCTTGGTTCTTCCTTTTTCTTGTTGTTGCTGTTTTTTGCTCAAATGAGCCCTTTCTGTCGTTCAATCGATCTCGCTCGTGCTCCCCGTTGAATGATGCAAGTCACGCGCCGCCCACGCCCTCCCTCGCGGAGCCAACAAGGGTGGCAGACAAACAAGCAGGGACGGAAAGAAAACCCTTAGAGCAGCAACACAACGGCTCCCTCACACGCGCAGAGAGCGAGGCACGGGGGTTGGGCGCAGCCGCAAAAGGCTGTGAAGCCGGTAGAAACACCTGGCACAAAACGTAGGTGACAACAAAACAAAACAAGGCCGGTTGCATGCAAAATACACTAAAAATAATAATCAAACGACACATAAATGAGCAAAGAAACATTGGAGCAACGAACGGGTACATGACGGAGTAGTCCTCCTCTCTGTTAGTTCTTCCCTCACAAAGAAGGCAAAGAAGGAAAACAACAACAACGAGTGAGCCCAAGTGGGCGTGATGAGACAATCCTTATCGTGATTACGTAACACGCGTGAAGGGATAAGTGTGAGCAACCACCGTGGTGTGGTAGAACAGCTGTCCTCCACCCGCAAGAAGGAGGAGGCACGGCTGGTTTGAGGGGTTGGGCCACAGACGAGCCTCGAGGCACTAACACGGTCATAGCACTGCGGCCACACAAAGTGAGTGTCTGCAACGCATAGACGAAGTACAACAAGAACAATGCGCATATATATATATATATATTGTGCAGCAGACACAGCGGGGGTGCACTGTGTGGGAGGGAAGAAGCGGCCACGCACCCATCACGAACCAAAACAAGTTCTGCAAAAATAAATAACGGCACAAACCCCCCCCCCCAAAAAAAAAAAAAAAGTATAACGCCCCCAACCATCCAAGTAATGATGGCAACGGTCTGAACATCGGGAAGAAAGAGAAAACGGAGAAGGCGAAACAACAAAAAGGGGGGCGGCCAACGGGAACTGGGAAGATGACAACTCTCTCTCTCTCTCTCTCTCTCTCTCTCACACATGCAAAAAAGAAGAAAACGATAATTTTAGCCCCACAAGCGCGTGCGTGTGGCGGTGAGGAGACAAAAAGCAAATATATGGGCCCCAGCAACCCATCCACCTGCCTATTCCCACGCAATCCTTTGCGTTTCTTCATGTATTTTTTACTCAACTCCCTCCTCCTCCCCTCTCCCTCTCCCTCTCCCTCACACCCACACCCACACACGCAGACTCACTCTCTCACTCCGTCCAACGTAACTCATTGTATCTGTCTCTGTCCGAGTGTGGAGGCGGGCGAGTCGGTGACATAACAAACAAAAAACAAACAAGCCAACAGAGATGATAATACTAAAAGGAGACAAGCAACACTAACAAAACACACACGGAACAATTCCGTCAAGCCATGCATCACGGAAGGCCAACGTCGTCAAGGAGTAAAATAAGTAAATAAATAAATATAAATACAAAAACAAATATACTAATAAACGGCAGGCCGTATCCCATGAGGAGAGTACAACACCGTCCTGGCAATACATATTCATCTAGATATATCTGTGGAGGACACATATGCACCCAGGTTTTCGCACACTCACATCCGTTAAATCGACAGCCTAAAAGAGTAACACATACACACAAAGAAAAAAGGGCTGGGAGGGAGCCCTTTGTTAATACAGGCAAGGCATTTATTGGCGCCTTTAAGATTCCTCAATTATTATTACTACTATTTTCCTCTTCACCGCATAATTCTTTTTCTTTGTCGTGTTCAGTTATGCAAGGAGCCTTTACGACTGATGCACACACGCGCCAAAAGCAATTTTTCTCTTCCTCACCTACATAAAATTTAATTGTTGTTGTTGTTGCGTTTCTTTCCTTTTTGTTGCACTTACTTCACCATTGTCTCCCTTACTCTCTGTGCTTCGGCGCAGGGAATAACGACAAAAAAAAAGAGGAAAGGGGTGGCAAGAGCATTCCGCCTCCGGCCCGCGTCTGCTGCACGAAAACCTGCTGTGGTGTGTTTTGACACGCCAGGCGGATTCACGCATGCCTCAAACACGTTGGATGCACCCACTGCGGCGTCATACATGTATCGTGAAAAGTGCCTCTGGCGGACTACTGTCCGCCGCATTTTGCGCTCCCCTCCGTCCGTCGCGGTCAACCGTCGTCAGACGGCCCGCCGCGCTACCCCATGCGATGTGGGGGTCCAGACGGCGGGAAGGCACAGTGGGGCGCAGGCGTCAAGCGGCGGCTAACACACGCCGAGGAGGAGCCCCCGTGGCACATTAAGAATGTCCAGGCATGTCCACCACCCCACCCACAGCGGTGAAGAAGCAAAGGTGCCGTTTACAAACAGGGAGGGAATATAATATATATATATATATAAATACAAAACAACGAAAAATAAAAATAGGCATGTTGATGGCGTTCACAAAATAAAACACACAAAACAAAAAGCGAAGGGTTAATTCTGGTAAGGGGTGGGAGTGGGGAAAAGAGGAGAAAAGGAGAAGGGGAACAAGCGCCAGAACAAAAAGGGCTTGGCATCAGGCATTCTCTGCGTCTTGCGAGGAATTGCCGGAGACTGTAGAGGCGCCTTTACCCACCTCGTGCAGCCAGATACGGCAGTGATAGAAGGAGTGCAAGTACTGCGCAAGCTCTCGAAAAAGCACCCGTCTCTTGGCCTTGTAATAGACGTAAATTTTTTTGCAGTCGGCCTGGAACTCGCAGTCAAGAAAGACCATGTTTTCCACACGGCAGTCCAAAAATCTGGCGGGGTTTATGCGGTGTTGCAGAAATTCCAGCAGGTCCTTTTCCAGCTGACGGAGGGTGTGATCGTAATGTGAAGTCTCCTCCTCTGTGGCGGTGCGCAAAATAAAGGCGGCTGTCACCACATCGTGGTCCATAGGAAACCCACGACGCGCCAACTCGGCGTTCTCCAGCTGCTCAAACTCCTCCACAGAGAGCACCACCTGCACGAAGCCCATTTCAATCCCCATATCGCCCTCCAGCAGCACCAACTCACTCACCTCATATTGGGTGCTGGCGGCGCACAGGGTGCGTCTGCATCGATGCCCAACCAAGTACACGTATCGCACCTCCTCTGCCCGCAACTGGCTGTTGTTGTCGTACCGTTTACCAGCACGCGGAGGACGACGGTTGCCGTACGCCGTCAGATCCTTAAAAAGCAGGGGAAGGGAGCAAAAAATGGAAAGCGTGGGAATTAATTCCTCTGACTTGGCCTCCTCGTCACGACCCGCATTTCCGGTCCGGCATCCTCGTGATCGATAGGTTCGAAGAGGGGTTAAATTGTTTTGCGAGCCCGCGTGCACATTCTCCTCGCCGGGTCCCACAACAGCCGTGGTGGCAGCCTTCAAAGGAGATGTGTTAGACACATTGGCGTTTGACGCAGGTGATGACGATGCTGGTGGGAGTGGTGGTGGAAAAGAACGAACGACAAGATGGCGCCCCGCAGAGGAGGGAAATGGTCGAGCAGAGGGCAGTATTGGCCCAGCAGCTGCACCCGGATAAGCCTCCTGGCGCTCCCCACCATCATCCTCCACAACTGCTGCCGACATGGTGGTCGTGTAGGGCTTTGTGAAAAGGCAATGTGTGAGCGGCGTGGGGTCGTACGGGGGCGTGAAAGCGGCAGACGCACCAGCGGAGCATGCCCCACCCACCGCAGGGAAGCATAAGAGTGTACCGAGGGGTGTCGCTGCGGAGTGCAACACACACATGGGATTCCACGCGGCATGGTTGTACGTGCCCAATGAAAACCCACCGTCTGCCTTGACGCCAAAATTATCCCGCTCTTCTGCATTTTCCCCGCACAGCAACCCCCACGCCGCATGATCGCTTCCTCCCAGATCAGAGTTCTGGCCCTCTGAAGCGGCGGGAGTCGCTGCAAGAACCTTTGCACTGTACGGATCGTGCCGCCACACGACGCCTGGAAAGTTGAGTGAGGCATGACATTTATCTCCATTCTCCATTGTGGCTTCTCTTTGGGCGCATTCCAGAGCATCGTTGAGTTCGTTCACCATACTGAAAGGAACCGTGTAGGCCTTTCCGTTAAATGAACGGAAAGGTGCCATCTTGACGTCACCACCTGAGAGTGTCCTCTGTGTTTGTGACGCACTTACGTGTGCAGGGCAAGCACCTCTCGTGAATAGCTCCTGCCCCACCTGAATGGCCTTCTGCTCCTCCCCTTGCTGACAGTGGCAGCGACAGCAGCAGCGATAGCTCTCTCCAGCCTCCGTCTCACTCCGCTGCTCCTTCCACGGCTTCATCGTGAAGGCAGGGATAAATGTAGATGCAACAGGCATGGGGTCCTCGCGCTGAAGGCCACCGTTTTCCTGCGTGTGCGTGTGTATGTAAATAGATATATGTGTATATATGTGTACTTCCTTGTTTCCACGTGCGACGCACGGAGTTGTCTCCTTCCCTCTCCCTACGCGCTGTATATGCCTCTCTGTCCCAATGCAGGCGCAGCTACGCGCACGAGCAACAACCGCACACACGTGCAACCGGAAGTCTTACACACAAGAAAAAAAAAAAAAAAAACAATAGAGCAAACACAAATGCACCAACGCTGAGGTGCGCCTCACCCTCCTCCCAAACACCGTCCCCGCAGCGTGCGGGGCCACAAAGCAACAACCGACAGACAAATATGTTGTAATAACGATTAGACAACAAGCCAAGAGGGCAAAACAAACAAACGAGGGAGAATAAAAAAATGCCCCTCTTCATCTCGTCCTGCTCCCCTGTTACCTCTTCATCGCTGCAGACGCACACACGCACACACTCCTCTCGTCACTCCCCTCTTTCTTTTTCCATTTTCCATTTTTTTTTTTTGCCGTTTGTTTTCTCCGTCGTTGTCGCATGGCCCCACTTTGCCGCCCCTCCAGCCTTCTCACACCGCGTCCCTTGTCAACCACACGACCATTCCACACCTAAGTGGCAGCCACAGCAACAGGGAAAAGGACAAAAAGATGTATGCGCCACGGCTGTGGCCATTGCTGGACCAGAAAGTATCCCTCTTCTACTCGCCCCGTTGCGCAGAGTGCGGTGAATCCTCCACATTGTCGTAAGCCTCACGTGGCCGCTTACGCCCTCCTTCTGCGCCGAACATTAGCACGTACCGTTCATATGGCGGCACCTCTGCGTTCGGTGCCTTAACAAACAGACTGCGGGTGCTGAGTCGATTGTACACGGCATGTCTTCCGTTGATGCTGGACGTACCAGCCAGTGTGGAACCCCCCTGCCCCGCACGTATCTGAACCAGGTAGCTGCTGGTGCTGTTCTCCTCCGTAACAAGTGGTTCAAAGGTGTTCTCTCGCGATGTGTGATAACTGACAGTTAACCCGTGACTGACTTGTCTGGCACTCTTTTTGTCCGCCACCAATAGGTTGGTGTTGTTCACCAAGGCGTGTGGCCCACCAATCCTAGACTCCTCGCTTACCACCGCGCCAGGAAGCACGACTTGGTGAAGCGCTGTCGCTAACTCGCCCAGGTACTCAATGTATCCTGGGCCCCCCGCCCCCATTTCCGCGGCCGCCTTCTCAAAACCAGCCGGGTACAATGGCAGCACCTCCACTGGGAAAATGGGCACCGGTTGACGCTCTGTGCCGAGTTCCTTCGCCACTCGCCGCAACGTTGCACCGGGCTGGAGATCCGGTCCAAAAGCCCCCTGCTCAAAAGGATCCAACTCCTTTCCGCTGATTTGAAGCTGCTCCTTGCGCTGTTCTGTTCCGCCGCTCAGGCTCAAGGTGTATGCCTTCAGAAGATCCACGTACTCCCGCAGCAGCGTCAGCCACAACTGTGAATGTGGCATCTTAAGGTCAAACACCGCGCGCTTCAGTTGGTCCACCACCTCGCCACGTTCATCGTAGTTGGAGGAAAAACGACACAACTGGTTCCAAAAACCGCGCTGCTGCCCTTTATTCGTTCCCTCAAATAACAGGTGCCATAGGCGGCACGTGAGACTCATAGCCGCTGGGTCCTTACAGTCTAGACCCAGCTTCCTTTGTGCCACGGATTCAAGCAGCCTCTCATACTGAGTGTCTAACGTGCGGGCAAAGCGAAAAGAGCTTCGAATGCCATCTAACCACTGCTGCGGTGTCCCCGTCACGGGTGGTCCGTTGCTATATATTTGTGCCTGCGTCAATTCCTCGCCACCAGACGGAGACATACCACCACCAACACCAACTCCCTCTGAGGGTGTCCGTGTCCCTCCCACCGCTTGTGAGTCCAGTGAAGATGACAAGAAAGGTTGGCTTCGCAGTGTTTCAGGGACAATGCGGGCAAGACGCTCCAGATGTCGCTGCTCCTGAGAGACCAATCCCATGTCTGTGTACAAGGGACGCTGCAAAAGCGTCAGTGAAGGCTTGTCACGTTCCAAGACCAAATTGAGGTCGATATCCGTATCCAGCAGCTCGGCATCAGCCCGCTCCAGGTACGGATTCACCTCCTCCGGCCGCCATGTCAACCGCTCCGTTAAACCAGCGACGGTTGCCTGCCGCTGCAACTCTTCCACACGCTGCTCGCATTCCACTGCAATCTTGCGTGTCTCCTCGACCACCTCTGGACGGAGCAGGTAGTAGGCAAGCGGAATGCGTTCTAACACACCCTCAGACATAGCGTCCAGCTCCGCCTGCATGACACCCAAAGGTGCTGGGTCGTTAAGTAACTCCTTAAAAGCCTCCGGGATATACAACAAGGGTGACGCGGGCACCCGCGGAAACGGCACCTCCCACGAGAACTCAAAGTAATACTGCTGCTGACAGCGACGAATAAACTCACCAGGTGTCATCATCGGATCAATGACAGAAACGCCAGCAATGGAGGCGGTAGACATATGACCTTCCGACGTAATTTCGGGATCCGCCCCATTCTGGCGCCAAGAGCCCCCAGCAAAGGACGCCATGGCGTCATCATCCATGGAAACGGGATTGTACGCCATTTCTCTAGCCCTTACTTTTCTTTCCTCCCCCCTCCAGACTTCTTCGTTTGTGCTCTCTCGCACGCGCGATCTCCTTTTATCCACCACTCTCGCCTTGTCGTTGCTCGTGTCACTGTTAATCCCTGCTGGAAACAGTCAACCCCTCAACGCAGTTCCCTCAGCGTCCTCCTGCACCCCGCCACCCCGTCGTTGCAAATGGTGCGACAACGCCTCACTCCTCACGTCCCTCCTTCACCCAACAAAGGCCAACAGTAACCTCGCTAGACCTAATAATCACTTCACAATCACAACAATGCAAAAAAACAAAAAGCATAAAATGCATGCGGGAAGCCACAATAAAAAAAAAAAAAAAAAGGACAAGAAGCAAAATACACACCTGCGAGAGTACAGGCAGTGCCCACATAACCCGGGCAATAAAGTGCAGTGTATGAACGGGATGGACTGCCCAATTCGTGTATCGCCTTATTTGAGCACATGTTTCTTTTGCTTTTTTATTTTGTTCGTTTTACTGTTGGAGGGTTTACAGGTGACGTTACCCAGGCCGCTTGTTCATAATTTGCCTTTTTTTCTTTCTCATCTCTCCCTTCTTTCACTCTAGTTGGTTAGCTCGCTTACACTGTCTTCCACCCCACGCTCAAAAAAAACTATGCATGGGGTAATCCCAGACTACCCTGCCAGTTTCTACACAACAACATCAGGCTAAGACGGCAAACAAAAAAAAAAACAAAGAGGCCATCCCCTCCGCCCCCCGCCCTCACTTCAGCATTCAATACATAAATAGCAATGCAAAAGACGCCAATGACCTCCTACCACCTCCCCATCTTTTCGCCAGTCACGCATACGAGAAACAAGCAGAAATACAAGAAAGAAGAAGAGCCACCAAAAAAGAAAAAAAAAGGAAATTTAAAAAAATAAGATAACAAAAAGAAAAAATGTACATTTTTAGACTACGCAAAAAACCATCCTCGCACTGAGAAGCATAAAAACAGGGGTAATCGACGGCCATGCAACTCTCTCTCTCTAGTCACTTATTACGGTTGCCAATGCTTCTACTGCGTATCGCTGTGGAATTTCCAATGCTGCGACTTCGAATAGGGGCGGAGGGCGCCAACTTCATCCGCTTCGCAGTCGGCTTCGCCTTCTTCTTTTCAGCCTCCTCTGGTCGTAAGCTCACCTCATCTAGGCGCTTCTGGAATAAGCGGATGCACTCCACCCGGGCCTGCTCGTCAGTCGCAAAGCTCAACCACTCAATGCGTTCCGGCATCACTACGGAACCATTGTGAAAAGGGGCTTGTTGCACCGAAAACTGATCCACATTCTGCAGAAGGTACGTCAAAAGCTCCGGCATGGTTGCACGAAGCGCAAGGAAGAGTGGCGTGTCATGCTTGTCATCCTCAATTTGCGGATCATGCCCCATCTCAATGAACCGCATGGCGTAATCTTGACGGTTGTACAGAATAGCATAATGCAGGTGTGTCCTACCTTCCTTGTCCTGATAGTCAAGTCGCAGTTGTTGCGTTTTCACACCCGCCAGCATGGCCTCCATTGCGGCCTCGTTTCCAAACCTTATAGCATACATCATACTCGTCACGTTTTCCTTGTTCTTTGTCGTGGGGGAGGCACCCAGTTTGATAAGCAACTTCAGCATGGACAAGTAGTCCTCACCCAACGCCACGCACCAGTGCAGCGCGGTCTGGCCGTCCGTATGAATGTGGTGCTCCCCAATCTCATCCATGGCGGAGTCGTCACATTCATTTAACATAATCTCCACATTCCGACCGCGCTCCTTCGCCCCTGCCACGAGAGCCTCCACAAGCTCCTCCTTATTCGCAAGGACGGCGAGGTGCAGTGGCTTCTGCCCATGCCACGCACCGTGCACATCACAGATTGAGGCGAGGTATTTTGCGGCTTCCACTTGTCCGAACTTGCAGGCCAAGTGCAGCGCGGTGCAGCCAAACCTGTTGGGGATCGCCGGATCAACGCCCAGTTCCACGAGACGTTTTACCTCTTCCGTCTGCCCCCTCCGTGCCCCACAATGGATCTTCTCCATGTTCTCGTCATCTACTCTGAGCCTTGGTAGCCTTGGAAAGGAAGTCATCCCCGCCAAACCACAAAAATGCTGCAGCAATTGCCCCAAGCAAAATATATTCTCACTTTGTTTATCCCGGCTCAGAGCCCCAAACACCTACAGGTGCTTCAAAAAGCACACACAAAAGAAAGAAAGAGGAACAAAGAGCGGGAGGGGAGGGGGGGAACGACAAAAGAGCAGATAATTTATGGCGATCCGGAGACCCACAGCAAAGTGTAAGATGGGAGCACGCCCACAACAGCAACGTCAGGGAGGGGGGCACACACAAAAAAAAAAAAAAATAGATTCATCAGTAAAATTACCAAATCAAAATGAAAACACTGGTCGGTGCAGCTCTCTGTCGCGCAGTATTTACTGCTTCTTGGCGCCGCTGGCGTGAGCCTTCTTGGCCTTCACCACACGCACGGTTTTGGCCTTGCGGCGGGCGTCGCGATTCTTGGTGTTGCGCAGCCCCTTCGCCATGGTGGACTCCTTCTTCTGGAACGGGTTCAGGCGCAGGCGCAGGCGGCGGTTGCGAATGCCGTTTGAGGGCTTCGTGAAGCGGCTCGCCTTCTTCGGCTGCAGCTTCTTAGGCTTCAACACCCGGCGCACCTCCTCGGACTGCATGATGCGCGTGACATCCGTGTTCGTCAGCATCGGGGCGGGCAGCATAAAACCCTTCTTCACCGCGGAAGCCTCCGTGAAGGTGCCAAAGATGCCGTCAAGCTTTTCAAACGCGCCCTTCGTCCAGATGATGAAGCGGCCGACGTGGCCACCAGGAGCAAGGTGCAGCAGGTTCAGCGCGTTCACGTTCGCCAGGTCCAGGCCGAAGATGTTGCGGAAGGCGCGGGTGCCCTTGTTGTCCGGCATCACCAGCATCGGGCCGCGACGGGCAACGTAGCGACGGTTGCGCATCTTCCCGCGGCCGGCGCGGATCTCTCGGGAGTCATTCACACGGTTCACGTCGTCGATCGCACCAACTGCCTTGAGGAAGGCCACCGCCTCCTTCGTCTTCTCGTACCCTTGCACGGAGTCTTCCACCACCAGCGGCACCTCCGCCACGTTCTCGATCTTGTGCCCGCGGGACATCACGAGCGAGGGCAACGAGGAGGCGGCCAGCGCAGACACAACGGCGAAGCGCTTCTGGTGCAGGTTGATCTTGCGGTGCCAGCGGCGGAAGATCTTCGTGGGGGCAAACATGCGCCCTCCACGGCACATGTTGCCGAACGCACCGGCACCTGACGTGCTCGTACCGCCACCACCAATGCGGGGAATACGCGCAACGGCGCGGCCAGTGCCCCACGACTCCGCGGAGTGCTTCATGCCGGAGAGGCGGTTCACCGCGTAAGCCTGGCGGGAGTTCTTGGACATGTTCGTGTGCACAAACTGCACAATGTCGTGGCGGATGGGAGCCGTAAACACGGCGGGCAGCGGGCATGAGCCCACAACCTTGTCCTCTGACGAGGAGTACACGCTGACAGATGGACGAGCAGTCATACTTGTTTGTTCTTGTCGCGGCAAGAGGCCTGTAATCAGCAAACCCGTAGAGAAAACACAGCAAAAAGCAAAAACGAAAAAGGAGAGAGAAACAAAAATTGAGGTGTGGTAGCACCACGAGAACCTGTTGACGGGGACTCCTCAATCGTCAACGTTCCCCGACGCAGAAAACAAAGCTGGCGAGAAATTGTGTGGGGGCAGAGAATAACCT